GTGGTGATGCTACCCTAAGGAAGGAAGGAGGGCTGTCCGATAATGGATGGCCCAATGCTCACTCCAGTCCTAGAGAAGGAATGGAGAGGAGGGGCTCTAGGAAGGAGGCCCTGGGGTCCAACCCCAGCCCCTAGGGACAAGGTCAGTCTTCATAGCTGTATCTGAGAGGTACACGCCCCGTGTTCCAGGGTGCAGAAGGGGTTTCCCACACATCTCACATTCCAGCTTTCACAGCATGGCTGTCAGCTGGCTCTTCTCACCAACATCCAGACGTGAGGGAACAGAATCAGGACTGGCCTGTTCACAGATAGCTTCTTAGATTTTACCTTCCTTCTACCTGGGTAGCATGCTCTGTCCCTCCCTCTTGTGTGACCCTTTTATACATACAGTTCCTCATGCTGAGGTGACCCCCCCAAGAATAAAATTATTTACATTGTTACTTCATAGCTGTAATTTTGCTACTGTTATGAATCATAATGTAAATATCTGTGTTTTCTGATGGTCTTAGGCAACCCTGGTGAAAGGGTCATTTGACCTCCAGAGGGGTTGTGACCTACCCACGGGTTGAGAACTGCTGGTTTACAGGAAGGAAGAACTGAACCCGTGTGACACCTGCCTGGGGAGTGGTGGGGCTTCTTCTAACAGAGGCAATCAGCAGGGTGGAGGCAGAGATGTTGTGGAAGTCTGCACTCATCACCACCCTGCGGAGTCCTGCTTATATGATCTTCCCAGGGGTGGTGCTCATGACTCTTCCTAAGAAGGGTAGCACTTGGGCCAATCAAGAAGCTGGGTCTGCTGCTAGTGGTGGGATCTCATTACTGCCTAGACTAAGATAGTCTTCTTTGCCTGGGAATGGTGCCAAGGCAGGGGAAGATGGAAGAGGGTTGGGGACCTGCCAAGCCTGCAGGGTGTGTTCCAGGCCCAGGACAGGAGACAGCTGTGATGGGACGAAGGCAGACTGGGCTGGAGAGTTTTATTCCCTTTTGCCCAAATCAGAACAGGTGGGCTCATACACAGAGATAGGCCCTGGGAATCCGGGCTGAAAATGGCAGGTTGAATGAACAGGCAGCTTTGTGTTTGCTGCCCTGGCTGTTAGGAAGACAAGGCTGTAGGCAGGGCCAGGGACTGAAGAAGAGGGCAACAGGGGAGGTGGGATGACGACAATGTCTCCTTCCCTCTGGGCTGGCAGGTATGTATTTTGTCACATTCGCCAGTGCAGAGGGAGAGATAGCAGAAAGGATTTAAATGGCTGGGTCATCTCTTCAGCATATTCAGCTCACAGCCCTCCTGTGACCTCACTGGTACAAAAGCTCTTTCAGTGACATGGCCACCTGTTTGCAGAGGCTCTGTCTTCGGGCTTCTCATTACTCTGTTTTTTTTGTTCCCTATGGCTCTCTCCCATCCTCTTGTTCTTTGTTTAATACACACACCCCTACACACCCCTTATTCTCTACAACCACAGAAGTTGTTAAAAATGACTGAAAACAGACTCAACCTCACACTCAGAGGTCCTGTTTTGTTCTGTGTCATGGACTTCATAAAGGTCAAGCTTGCTGGGACACTCCTCAAGGGCCAGGGTCTCTTAGCACAGAGTCTTACCCAGCACAGAAGCCTGACTAATGTGCTGATTCTAGGACCCCATCATTGCAGCAAACGCCTGGTCCCCAAGAAGATTCAGGGTGGAGACAATATAACCTGGTCATTTTGCATCCCTTAGCTTAGCACTGTGTCCAGCATAGAAAGTGCATGCTGGTCTCAGAGTGTGTGTGTGTGTGTACAAAGTGACTTACAAAACCCTGAAGCCTGCATGCTGTCTCCTTCCTCCCTTCCTAGCAGAGCCTCCCAGGTCCAGCATCTATAGACTGGTTCCCACACTGACTCTTCTCACTGCTTACACCCTCATACCTTGCCCTCTCCTCTCTTCTGCTTTGCCCCTGTCCTTTTTGCTGCCTCCCCAAATCATGTGTGCTTACATTGTGCCCACTGGAAAAAAAAGGACGGGGCAGGAGGAGCAACTTCTGTGTCTGATCTGAACCAAGGCATATAGGTAACACTGACTAAGATGAGAGAACCCTCTAGAGGGAGGCAATGCTGTCTGCCTGGGCTACCTAGGTTTGCATATGTGAATGTTTTCAGATGGATCACTTTCAGCTCTGTATATTTTATTCTACACAAGTTTAAAATTGTATCCTGATGAAAGGCATCTTAGAGACCCAGGGACCTACCCTTGTCCTCCCACTATGTGCAGGAGCTAATCTTGGTCATTAACTCTGGGAGGGCAGGGGAAGGACCTGCTAAGTGTTTCAGTGATCAGAGTGTGTGTGTGTGTAAGCACATGCTGGTAGGATAGGCAGACGCTGTGGAGGCAGGAGGATCATGAGAATCGAACTGACAATGTCCATTAGGAAGATGTCTTCATACAGATGTCCACTAAATGAGGCCATGCATCATCCACTGATGAAAAGGCTGTGACCAGAGCATCCTCAAGAATCTGACCCTCTATTTCTTTTAGGGACAGTGGTTTGGCCTTTGTTTGATTTTGTGTTCATAGGTCTTTACAGAGTACCACTGAGAGCCCATGGTTAGTAAGGGCTGTCATCTGATGTGCAAACTGGAGTGAGCCGTGATGTCAGGCTGAAGGAGGTGAGGGGAAACAGTAGGAACATCTTCCAGTTAAGCAAAGGCAGATGGAAGCTGTGACGCCCTCAGGGATTTGGGCATTCAAGGGCCATCTAGAAAATCACTGGAGACGATTCAAGCCTAAGAGGAAGGACCCTATGAACTCTCAGTCTTTGCTGTAGCCTGAGATTGTTGACTACCCTACCTGATGGGTCAGTATTCTAACCACCAAGCATCTGACCCAAGTGCTCAGCCCCATCAGTTTTCCTATAACCCACTGAAGTAGGCGATCCATGCATCCTCTTTGCAGGCCACGAGGAGGGCCTGGGATGCTGAGGAGGTTTGGATTTGGTCCTGTGTCAGATACTGCAGTCATGTCCATGACTGTTTCCTTTACCTTTACGGCACGCTGAGATTGGAGTTGCTGGGTTTCCTACATGATGACCTGCTTTATATATGACCCTGGCTAGCCTTCGGTTTAGCCTCTCCTTGCTTTCTGCCACAGGAGTCCGGTATGGTGCCATACAATGGGAGACTGAAGCCATATAAGAAGTAGCGTATGATATTTTCTCTTCTCAGACCTGCTTAACCCAGCCGTGGGACACTCTGGCCCTTGTGTCACCTTCTTTAGACTGCAGTGTCCTGAATGCTCACTGAGATCAGTGCCATATGGGGCTGGGATAGCACCATGACACAGACTAACAGCGACACAGAAACCTGTATTTTGGTCCTGAAAGATTTCAGGGACAGGGCAGCTTTTATGATTGCCCTGGAGTAACACTTGTACCATGCTGTGACAACGAAGGCACGCTCAACAGTCAGTTAGGTGGCTTGCAAGTTTCCAAGGAAAGCATGAGGTTGAGAATTCATTCATGCCTTTCCTGGGAGATCTTACTATGCTGGACAAAGAAATGTATCTCCTTCTGCCTTGCTAGGTAGTACCAGGGACCTCTTCTGGCTTGGCACAGGCTGGCATGCCTTCTAAACGCACCTCTCCACCTTCCTTTGTTGGGGGCAGTCCTGAGGCCACTGCACTGTTCCAGATGGACCTCCATGTCCATTTCAGCACAGCTTCCAATCTGTCTCCAAGTCAAAAGTGTGTGTTTCAGTGTGGCTCAGTGGTTCTCAATTTGTGTGTGTGCTATAATCTGCCTAACAGATTTCAGGCCTTCCCTTAAGGGACTCGAGGCCTCATTATGGCCAATACCCAGAAAAAGGGAAGTTGGCTCTTCTATTGGAGAGGCTGTGTGAGAAATTAGGAGGGTGTTTTTAACTGTTAGAATCTAAGAGAGTGTTTCCTGCCTTTGGAAGAGGAGAGAGATAAAATCCCACCTCCAATTTCTTATAGTTCAAAATTACTGAAAATTACAACAAATGTCATTGGTCCTAAGTAATTCAAGCTGTTAATGGGAAGACTAAAATCTTATCTTATGATGCTTGTGGCTATCTCAGAGAATATCAGGTTTCAGGTGGCCACAGGAATAAGTCATAGCTAGAGTAGGGCCAAATTCCATTATTGGATGGGGTCTAATTTTGATGGCTATGCCAGGAAGGGAGAAAAAAGATGTTGGGGCCGGAGGGATGCCTTAGTGGGGAGCTGCTCTTCTAGAGCACTCAGGGTTAATTTCGAGTACTCACGTGACAGTTAACAACCATCTGTTAACTGTCTAGTTCTGAGGGGTCTGAACCCGTCTCTGGCCTCTGTGAGCACCAACCATGCATATGGGATATAGTCACACATGCAGGCAAAACACTGATACATGTAAGATAAAATGTAATAAGGATTTTAAAACGACTTTCAGATCTCTCCTATCTCCTGGCTAGTTATTCGCATCTTTCAGTTCACTCAACAAGTTACTATTTGCTCATCTTCTCCCCTTTTCTAGAGAATAAATGAGCAAAAGAAGGAAGCACAATATATGTGTTAGTAGTTGGTTTGGTCTTTCTTTCCTCATGGCTTTAGGCCCAAGTTCATTTGTAGCCAGCCTATAGGTGTTATGACAGTCAAGGTAGGGTCCTCGGGTACATTACACATAAAAGTAACAGGAAGTTCTATGGTTATAGCACAGGGTATATTGAATGGACGCTGAGTTACAAGATGGACGTCACATACCTAGTGCATAATTGAGTGGTCTGGTGAATTTTGAGAAAAATATCCTACACCACTTGGGGGTGGGAGGGCTCTGCTGAAGTCAGCAAATTGAAGATAGACAACTGGACAAGTTAAAGTGAACCCAGAAAGAATGGAAGGGCAATAAAGCTTATAAAAGCTGCAAGGAAGGGGGGGTGAGGAAAAGAAGAATGCAATGAGTGAGAGAAGGACAGAGAGGAGGGGGAGAACTACCAGGAGGAGGCAGGAGGGAGTGGCCAAGGGTACTCACGTGTTGTGGAGCACACACCAGCCACAATGAGGGTCACCTGAGCCAAGACACTCGCCACAGCTCCGATACTGCCCGCAGGACTCCACAGGAACTCTGGTTAGCTAGAACAGCACAATGAAGAAGAAGCAGTCAAGAATCTTCAGAGAACCTAATAGTTTACAGCTAAAATTGTCATCCAAAATATCATCGTATCACCCAAGACACCAGAGCAGTGTGGAGGTGCCTAGAGCCCCAGCATCAAAGAGACTTTTCGGAGCCATATTGGAGTAGATGGCTGCACAGCATCCCGAGGATACAACCTCTTACTAGGTCCTAAGATGTAACTGGGAATACAGACCACATTGAGTTCATATAAAGTATCACAAAAGAGACTCACACACTACACATTTGAATTTTCCTATTACCCTCACCCCCAAATATGTCTGCAAATATCCAATCCATTACATATTTGTTTCCTATCAGAGCAATAAACTGAATGTTCATTCTTTAACCATCTTGTTTTGCTTTCCCTCCCTTAGTTCTCAACACTTTTATTTTTCCAGAGAGCACTTAACCCCCACCCAGCACTCTTCCCTCTTCTTCCTCCTGGCTGTTTAACAAGGTGCCTGATCTACCCCGTGGCTGCCTCCTGCCTCCTCCGGCTTCATTCTGTTGACCAACTTGCTCCAAAAATTGATTTCACCGCAGTTCTTTCAAAGATCAGCCTTGCTGTTTCCCCCTACCCACGCCCTTTCCATGAATCGAGGCTTCCTCTCCAGCCCAGAGACTTTACATTTGCTTCCAGCAGCAGCTTGTTAACATAAAATGTTCCACATGACATTTTCACTTAGCCCAAATGCCTCCATTTCCTGCACGCCCTTAAATACCATTTGAGATTCTTTGTTCTCTAAGGCAGCCTTGATGTTGCCTTACATGATGCCCAAGTACCTGCTACATTGCGGGTACTTAAAGATGAGGCTCATGATCAAATGGAATGTTAATTTCTTTTTATAGCCTTGGTCTTGATTTTCTATTTTGCCAGTTTCTTCTTTATAAAAAGGTTTTTAAAATATGTTTTTAAATTTGGGATATTTTATATATCTATTTTTTTTATCCCAATGGAGGGCTTCTTGCCTAGTCTTTTAGCCAGAGCCAGGACAACTAGCTGTGGTCATCATCAGAACTGGCATGGCAAATTGTACACACTGACCCGGCTGAACCATCTCTGCTCACGAGTGAGCGCGGGGGCTGTGTTTCCCCTGCTGTTCCATAAAACTTCTATGCCGTACAATTATGTCCACTTGGCAGGGGCTACTTGTAACTCACGCACAGGCGAACTGGCACCAGAGCCTGCTCAATTAGTCTCCACGCTCTTTTGGAACGAATTAATAATTAATTCCAAGTCCTACCACCATGGTCTCCTTTGCCTTAATTTCCTCATTTCCCTTATCTATTTTTTTTTTGTAGCTGCCTCCTCTCATTCTTACTGATTTGCCTTTGGCCATCATGGCTTGTTCCCAATGCTTTTGCTTTGCATTTGGAATTCTCTATGTTTTCACATTTATTTGTGTGTGTGTGTATACAGACATATACATGCATTTGCACACCTGTGGAGGTCAGAGAACAACTTGCAGGGTTTGTGGATTCTAGGGATAGAAGTTGAGTTATCAGCCTTGGTGACAAACACCAGTACCCAGTGAGTCACCTCTTTGGCTCCTAGAATTTTACCTTCAATTCTATCATTGCCCAAGTGAAGCCCCACAGGACCTCAGTGTCTTTGTGATTAGGTTTGATGATAAGGATTTTTTTTATTAAATAAATTAACTCTACTTGTAGCTAGGAATTTAGCTTATTCCCGGTATCACTTTAATTTTTCTGCCCCTCCTTAAGCAAATACCTTCTAGCCATGAAAACACATCCATAATAGTGCTCAGCCCAGAGGACCCTGACTCCTAGGTATTCAGGAATAGGAATGAGATTCACAGCTATTTTCAATATTTCCAAAAGCCTAATGGAAATTGGATTGTTGCTATTTTATGTGTTTATGCATACTCATGTGTGTCCCATATTAAAGCAGGAAATATATTATTACTTAATAAATGCAGTTTGTTTAGTAGACAGAATCTTTCAAAATGTGACTCCCCGAAGGGAAAAATAATAAAAAGGGCTATAGATGGTGAAAGTTGGGAACCGTAAGTACATAATCATGTTTTCATGGGTTCCAGCTGCCTGTCTGGCACTCCATATTTTACATGGGCTTAAAGGAAAAATATCATGGTTTGTTCAATCAAAAGCATTTTCTTGGTCTAAACTTAATTAACTTTCTCCCCAGTTTCTTCTATCAACATGTTCAATAATCCATCTTGCATGGAATATGCCCTGGAATTCCACGGTAAACCCTGGGCTCTAGGATGCACCCTACAATCCTGGAGTATATCCTGAGATGCTAGGGTGTGTCCTGTGGTTCAGGAATGTTAGCTCTGTTTCTGGTGTATACCTGCGACTCCAGGGTCTGCCTCAGGTTGCTGAAGTGTGCCCTAGGATTCCAGGGTGTTGTTCTTCTCTGGAGTTCTGGGGTTTGCTACACTGAGTAAAGACTCAGCCACTGAGTTAAGTTGGATACTTCAGAAACCTTTGCATTCTAAAAATGACTTGCAACTGGTGTTTGATAACGTCAATAGGCCACGATTATAAAGTTCTTCTTCTCTGGATTTTAAGCAGCTGCCTTTTTTTTTTTTTTTTTTTTTTTTTGATTGGTTGTAAAGGATGTCAGAGGCTGCAGAGGGAGGTTCACAGAACCCTTGGCCATTGCTAGCAATGAGACCCGATTGCCTCGAGACTTGTTTTTCCTGTCTGTAAACAAGGAAGATAAACCCCAATGTTCCTATTCCTGAAGCACATGGTCATGAAACTGATTCATAATGGGTCCAGGGTCCAGCATTCCACTGGTGGTGGCTGAGATCACCACAGGCTGTTCTGTGAGTGTTCTGTTCCCTGTTGCTCATTGACTGATCTGTCTCCTGAGTCACAGAGACATGCTCTGAGCCTTCCCAAGGTCTGGGGAGTCACCCTGGGAAGTGAAAGATCTGGAAGATGTTTTCCTCATTAGTCCCTTCATTGTGTCATTTCCTCTTTGAGTGTACATCAGCTCCTAAGCCATTCCCCATTTCACTCTTCAGATGGGGCTCTGAAGTTCCCCCAAGCTTCCCGGACCAATTCAGATCCTTTTCCTAGCTTGGGAGTGAGCTCCATGCTCTTCTTTGATTTCAGCTACACATCTATGTGGGACAGGGCAAAAGTCCCCAACAGTCTGAGAGCTAGGTCTTAGCTGGGCTTTGTTCCCAGCTCTCCAGATGAACTTGAACAGTTCCTTCCAGGTCTCTTTTCAATCATCTATAAAATAAGCACCCATATGGACTCATTCTAGAATTCCTTTTGGATCTGACAGATGAAACCTCACCCAAGTCAGTCCCTCTTTCTTGTTTGGCTCTCAAGGATGTGTATAAACTTGAAATTGGGGACTTTCAAGAGGACACACCCTGGAGACCATCATCTGGGAATCTAGAATTTTCTCCTTGAAAGGCCAACAACAGAGGTCTTTGCCTTCCTTGCAGCTCCTTCATGTCAGTTTTACTACTTGCTTGTGAGGTTGTTTAGAGGAACGTCTAAACGTTCCCCAGTCTCTTGAAGCATGGATGCTAAAATTAGCAGGTCATCAGGGAATCCCAATAGATGAAAGGAAACAGTTGTCCTCATTTGAGGGCTTGATGTCATCTCTCTCCTTTTTGCAGGACCAGGAATGCTCAGAAGTTCCACTCTCCGGTCATCTGCTTTCCACCATTGCCTAGTACTGTCTCTGTGGCTCCATCATCTCTAGCCACAACATTGCTTTCTTGTGGACAATTCTAGAATGTTCCAAAAGTTTCTGACACCTTAGAATCACTTTTGCAAACTGGAATTAGTACAGTCATTTAACCCCGATGCAAAATATATACTCTAAAGTCCTCAGCTACCTTTCACACCTGGCTTGTATGATGCAAAGGTGGCCAGATGGTTGCTCAGCCACCTTGCCCCTATGATTCCTCATCTCTTTATCCTTAGTATCTGGATTCTCTACCTACAATGGACACCAAACAAAGCTGCCTCTCCATCCCCCACCCAACTCCTCTCCTGACCCTGGAACACTAACCACTCCAGATGCAGAGCCACCCGATTAATTAAAAACACCCCACACTGATTAAAGTCTTAAGCTACAGTGCCAGGCATGCTAATTAACCAAGTGAGGGAATTCAGACCACAGGAAGAGGTGAAAAGAGAGAAGTGTATGTGTGTCAGGGGGCTGACTTCTGTTGGGAGAACAAATCAGATGACAATGTGACCTGAGCTATCATAATGATAGATGGTGTCTGAGGCTAGGGAAGATTGAGGTCCCTCCCCTGGCCACTGGACTCCAGGGGAATTGTTGATTGATGTGGCTAAAATGTAGCCTTTAGTGCTTCCAGAGAGGGAGCCCCACCCTTCTCAGGACCACCCCTACACGAAAGTAGGGTAAGAGTGTGGCCACTGGAACAGGAGTGAGATGGGGTCTGCAGAGCTCTCTTGGTACACTGTTCTAGCTTCGTATGGAAACTTCCCAGGCAGCGAGAAATTCCTCAAAACACAGAGATTTGCCATGTAAGATGGTAACTTGACTACCGAGTACATACACAAAAGAAGGGAAAGCCGGGCCTCAGAGACACATTTGTGTGCCCATATACATTGCAGGATTATGTACAATAGTTAAAAGGGGAAGTTACCCAGAGTCCATCAACAGAAGAATGGATGGACAAAACGTGGTACGTACTTACACTGAAATGGTATTCAAAGGAATAGGAAAGGCAAGTGGTGGCACATGCCTATGATCCCAGAACCCTGGAGGCGGAGGCAGCAGAAGTAAAAGTTCAAGGCCAGTGTGGCCTACAAACCAAGCTTGAGGCCAGCTGAGGCTACATAAAGACATCTTATCTCAAGAAACTAACGAGGAATGGAGAGAGGGAAGAAATTCTAGATAAGTGTTAAGGACAATTATGTTAAATAAAACAGGTAAGACATAAAAGGACAATGATTGCAACACATATGAGAT